CACACAGCATGATATAGCAAATTTTTCCTGTTAGATAAGGTTCAAATACATTTTGCCGTTTTGACAGCTTCTGCGCTAAGGAGGCCAAACAGCAACTCTAATTCTGCTGCTACAATAGCAAGCATGCCGCTGATTTAACCCTTAGGAAACTGGATGACTGCCGGGCAAATAGCAAGGCCTCTTTCCAAACCATATTTAGCTCTGTGAATATAATAATTTAACTCGAACTTAGTAAAGCAATTAATCTGCCTAAAGAACTTAAAATACACTAGGTTGCATTTTTTTAAAACTCAGCTATTTCTAGCTAGTAAAGCACAAAAGAGCACTCTACACTCAGCTTTTTGTGGCTGTGAACTCCTTTAATTCAGCCCAGTCAGCCTGGTTTTTCTCAACCTAGAAACAAAGTGAAATGAAACCCAAAACAATAAGTAGATCAGTCATTTCAGCTGAGCAAATCATGGAGCTTCTCAGACTGCTGTGCTGTTTTTTCAGTTATGACATGCAGAAAACAAAGCGCCATCTAGAAACACTGGTCGTGATTCTAGCAGAATGGAAAACTCTATTGGAAAATGAAACTTTCTCAAACTCTCTCCCTTTGCATATGTCTGTCTTCAGACCTAACTTGATATTCTGTTCAGGATTGGTAAAATTATCAAATTCATTATTTGATAAAAAAGAGAAACACTCTCCCCACCTTTGAGTCAACCTTTTGAGCTCTGCTTGTATTGGCATACAGAGGACTAGGCCGGCACATAGTACTCAGCATAAAAGACTATAATTTAACCTGCTCACAGCCGTACCACAATATTTATTCCAGAACTTGTTATCTATTATCTGATATCAAATATACGCTCCTAGTGACCTGGGACAGATTAAAATATTTCACGGTTCTGGCCGTTCTGTAGCATGTCTTTTTCAACAGCACCAAACAATATTAAAGCGGTCAAATCTTAGAGTGGGCATGACAGATGAAATACATATCTAATGTCTTTTGTTGCAATGGACAGGTGTTCTTTGTCAGAGGCACCGTACTTTCTGCATTGTTGGGGAGTGGCAGAATTTTTTAATTAACATTTGAATCTATTATTTATGAATGCATTCCCTGGTGCCTAAATACAAGAGGAGAATGCAAGTTTGAAAGGGATCTGCGAGTGGAGGAGCTGAGTCTTTCTCCTTGATCACTCCTGCCTGGCAGGTGAGGACACACATTAAGGGGCTTCTGGGTTAAAGATTCACCTATTTCAAATGTCCTTGCCCAGACATCATTTAGGCAATGAGAACTATGTACTAGCTCATGCCCCTGGAGTGACTCTGCTTATCCCAAATTTGTAGATAATAACAAAACACCTTGTCATTAAGGCCCTTTTGACATCATGTGCAGAAACGCAGCCTAAGGCTGTGAGTTTCTGGCAAGCTGCTCAACCAGTACACCAAGCTTAGTGCAACAGGCACGTTTGGCCAAGGATTGTGAAAGCCACCCTGGAGTTTTTTCTAGACCTTCTTGGGTGGCGAACCTTCATCCAAGGCAAAGCAGACAATAGAGCCAGTATTCCTGACTGTACAGTGCTGATATGGCTCGAAGGCCCCCCTTCTACAATAAACTAGAAAGCAAATTAGTCCATACACAGATTTCCTCCCTCATAGCTGAAGGAGGAAACAATTGTCTTTCTTTGGACCTTAAATCCTTACCCTGAATGAGAATGAAAATGGGATGTGCACTAAGCATGCCAAATGGTCTGTTTTTTCAGGGGGGAGAAAACTTTACAGCTTAGAACAGGCATTCTGAGTTGTGTTTCAAAAACATATTTTAAGAAATATAATTAATTTGTCATATTTAAGAACTCTCAGTGTAATGTATTTGGATTTCTGTTCCCTTACTCTGTACTCTACAGCAGAGCAATAGTTGAATCTCTACACATCTGAGATATTTTTCTCATGCTTTACTGCCACTTAAGGGCTGAATGGAAAAGGTAACATCTGGCTTTTAGTCACAAAAGTAAAAAGTATTAAATCATTATGTGCAAGGTTAACATTTTTTAATAATAAAAGTGATTGATTGCTGCCTAACAATGAACTGTGGAAACGATACAGCAGTCTCACACAGCCAGGTGAAAAGTTGAAGGGCTTGCAAAAATATTTATTGTTCTTCCCATGCTACTGAATACCTTAATACTTTGGGGTGGTGCCATTAAATTCAATATGAACACAGGAAACGAAGGTATTGCTTAACATGAATAAATCAGAATAGGTAAAGAGAAACCTTTTTTGGGAGGGGACATGTGCCATTACATTCTCGTCAACCTTAAGAATTAGATGCAGTGGCTTTAATAAACAGTTTTGTGCAGGTCTCAAGTAGCTAGCGCAAGCTGCATGCTGCGGTTTGCTTTAGAGAGCAACTACCCGGTGCTGGCTGTTTCTGAGGGGACGCGTGTTGGCACGCCGACTGCTCAAGGCCATTCCGAATCTGAGAGTTCTCATTTTGGGACGATTCCTTTTGCTGTTGGGATGGGCGACTTGCGGAGGCACAGGCCTGTTCCCTTCACGTGAATTAGTCTCAAGGTTTTGGTTTTTTGAGAAGAAATAATAAAAGCTATCAAAGAAGAGAACAGATGTTCACAAAACCTTGTCAGAGGCCTCTTTTCAAGTTACAGAAGCAGTTATCATTAATCTAGCAATAATCAACGGAAACGTCACTCCTGGATTTCACATAATCGTTATAAATGCAGTTTTGACTGCTAGATTAATAATCATAGCGTTTTGCTGTTCATATATTTGTTACTGTGTTGAGTGATAACCTATTCCTAGCATTGTAAAATAAAATCAATTTGCCCAAAGCTGGTTATCAATCAACCATGTTGTCTTGCAGGCAATAAAGACTGCTGAAGAGAAGTACAAATGGAAGAGATGCAGGTAATTAAGGAGGAAAAAGACCTGGTCAGAGAACTAACATTTGTAAGTCAAAAAGGCTATCAGTTTCTATCCAAGTGGCTGAGTTCATCCTTGAGGGTAAAAGCTATTTAGAATCGGTCTTGCTGATCAATCCTGAAGTATTATCTTACAGATTCTTAATTCAGGAAATAGGATTTGTTCTTTTCCAGTGACTTTCTTACTGGTCAGCTTTAGTGATCCTGAAATTAAAGGACCTGGAGACTGGTTACACTATATATTCAGCTGTGGGGACGCTAAGCTACCTGCACAGGCCTTCAAAACTCAGCTCAGAGTCTTCAGCTGCCCTTGGGAATTCTCCCCTACGTAGGATTCAGCCTGTGACCATCCACAGCCCAGGATGGAGCTTTATTCATTGGCTGTTCTTCATATCAAATACTTCTAAAATGTCAAAGCTTCTTAAATACATGTTAAAATACTTGCAATTATTACTGTCCAAACAGGTCAACTGGATCTACGATGTTAAGACCTTAAATAAAAGGGTCTTTTTTTCTCTTTCCTCCAAGAGTTCAGTCACTTCTCTGTACCAGGGCAGATGTGATGGTGTGAAGATAAAACTGGAGTGTTTCAGCTGACCGGCTGCACGTCTATAAGCAGGAATCAGACAATAGCCTGAATCTGTTTTTTTCCTGGCCCACACTTGGAATGGTTTGTACTGTAGCAAGCCAGTGCTATATTTGTCTCATGCTGATTAGGCATCTTTCACTCCTGTCCCTTATTTCACTCTGATATGTCCTTATGATAGTTCAATCTTGTCACCTAAATCCAGAATAGCTCTTGGCAATTGCTGCTAAGATTTAATTTACACCACGATCAAGGCCAGCTGTCAAGAATCCATGCATGGCAAGAGATTGTTACTGCTGTCTTCAAAATATTTAATAATTACGGTCAGGAACAAATAGAGATGAGCAGTGGACAGATATTTTGAGAGCTTCTGTCCTCTAGATGTTAATTAAATCAGCACAGAAACTTGCATGATTCGAACAAGTATGACATAATCCATAAACTTTCAGAAAGCTTGTTTAAAATAAAAACATTTTTATTAGCAAATCATTAAGCCTATGTAGAATGAGGTTGTCCTCTTTGCTCACCGATAACCTTTTGCATCTGTGAAAAAAGTGGCATTCTTAATTAAATGTAGTGCTCCCGTGTCTCATAAAGATTTCTCTGCTGCTAAATTCTAGTACTTATTTTGCAAGGATATTGATTTTTTTTAATATTACATCCTGGTGCCAATAATATTTTACAGGTAAGTAAAATTGACAAATCCCTGAACTAAGGCTTTTAACAATGAAATGAAATATGAAAGATACTTCAGAAGCCTTTGAAGATTTTATTAACAAATACGTTTTATTTAGCATGTTATGGCATAAGATTAAACTCAACATTAATAAAGTGATATATATGCTTTTCCAGATATAATAACGTCAAAAATATTATTTTAAAAGTACTAAAAACCTCAGCAAGTTATTACATTCTGTGTGCTTTCACTATTGTTCTTTAAAACACGGTGTTTACTCACTGCCTTTCAGCTGTAAAGCTCTTGATTTCACCTCCATCTCAGTTAAGAAGCTATTATTAAGTCCTTTAAAGCATGCAAAATATTTGACTTTCAAAAACAGCCACATAGCCATAGACCTATAGAACTCACTGTAAGAATATCAATAAATAAAACTTCAGTTAGCATCTTAGTTACAGCTCAAGGCTGATCCTCAGCTGGTGGAAGTGGGCTTATGCTGACCCTAGCAAACCCCAGATGCATCAGCCAGCTCCTGATTTCAAGTTCCAAGTCATGGCAAGTTGCTTTGTCAGATATGGTATCTCCATACAGCGGAGTTTCCTACATCTCAGTAATATTTCATTATAATTTGTCTAAATCTTTAAGACAGTTACATTTGCAAAGGTCATATCTTGATTTTTAGTCCACCCGACTATATACATTTGAAAATACATATCTCTGAATACTTGAAGGAAACTTTGGGTCAAATTCTTGCATTACAGGAAAAAAAATCATGAAAGTGCACACAGATGTGTATGTATATATATACACACACTAGCCGCAGCTATATGCCACGCTGCCATTTATTGCTATAGACATAGCTCTGTGTTGGCTCGCAGGGTATACATACAGGAATGTAAACTATATTCCACAGGCTCTGCGATGGGAAGTCTTCCTACTTGGCAAAGGAGTAGGAACAGGCACAATCTGGAACCTGGGTTTTCTTTCAGGCATCTGTATGTAGACATGGATCTACCCCACTGAAGTCACTGGCACAAACTCAAAGCTTAACAGAGTATTTTACTGAACTGAAAACTAAGTTGGTATGTCAACTTCATGAACTTTTGTAGAGCAAAAATTGAAGGATTTTCCTTTTTCCACCAGATAAATCAGGTAGGATCAACACCTTATTTCCAATTATGCTCTATAGTTTTGACTTAGAATGACAATTAAACATGCTGTACGGCATTAACACTGGACGTAAAACATTGAATTCCAGATCCCGGACGCAGCTTCAATGGCATTTCTTCAGCAGATGTAGAGTTATATTTTTAACTGCGAGCATGGTTTCTGTGCATGTTGGTTTGATCAGCGTCTCGGGAAGTAAAAATCCAAAGTGGCCAGTATCGCGCAGCTCAAAGGCAAATGCATAGGGAATGCCATTTTTGTAGGCCCAGTCCATAGAGCTGCCAGAACTCACATCTGAGGGAAGGAATTCAGAGAACAGTAAAACAAATGTTAAATGCTTATCCTACTGAAAGCACCAGTTATTTTGGCATTTTATCTACAGCACTCAGTGAACACTTGGGACTAAGCTGTGGCTCTCTCTGATCCTGAATGCCCTGCAGGGAAGGGCCCAGGCCCTCAGCACATTGCACAAGGTGCTCAGCATAATATGAGATTAGACTCGATGTTTGTAGAAAGAAAATAACACCTGACTTTTTTGTTTAAGAGAAACTTTATTAAAGAAGAACATTGAGGACAAAGCCCTCAGATCTCCTTGTTCTCCTCGTGAGTTTAGACTGAAGTTTTACTTCCGGCAAGGTCTCTGAGCTGGACCTGGGCTCCGCACGGTCACAGATTCACATGAACTTGTGCTGAGCAGAGCTCTTCATAGACAATTCCTTTGCAGGGAGAAGGTGAAAGATGATAAAGTAAACTACATTTACCTTTCAAAGAGCTTTTAAAATTGTTTTCTCTTCATTTCTCCCTCATTTGTTCCTGATATCCTTACAGCATGCTAACTTTTGCATAGGTGGTGTCTATTATTAACAAAGCTTCCAGAAGAAGTGTGTTTCTTATGCTTTTCCTTATCCCCATATGTTGGTTATCCAGGAAACTTATATTTAGATAAAGATCCATCTCTCACGTGGCCTGTTTGCTTCTGTACAAGTCTAACATTAATTCACACTGCTGTTCTTTTGAAATAGAGGCTAACCGTGCTGTAATAAGCACAAGGTGATGACTGTGAGATGGAGGCCCACAACAAAGTGTGGCATGTAGCGCTCTTTAACTGAAACACAGCTCTCTTCACCAACAGCAAAAGAGAAGCAGGAGATTACTTGTGAAAAATCTTGCGATTTACTTAAGCCTCTCACTTTTTCAATTTCCCTTATCCTTACCGAGAGAATTTAGGCCTCATATAGGCTCACATCCACCCAAATAGCCTCAGTAAAAAACTGTATCTTGTTGAAACCTATTGAACTTCTTTGTCTCTTACCCGTCTACATGGAAAGCTCAGCTGACAAATGCTGTTAAATATTTAAAAGTCATATTTTAAAGATATTTTGCTATAGGGGAACATGCATTTGAAATCCACCTTCAAGAAATGGAAGACGTCTGAATAAAGACACTGTTGCTGTCATTTATCATCATCTAGACACTGAGACATTTGAAAACTAGGTTTTAAAGTGATCCTTTTAAAGTTTAGAATGAGCTCTGTGAATAGCTGTATCTATCGCAAAGGCAAAGAAGAGGCAAAGTAGCGAAACCTTCTTTAAACTGTTTTCTCCTATATACTCCTTAACGTAGTGATGCATTTACAGCATCTGGTAAAGATATGCTTTTCAAGGTCTTCTGTTTTATCTGTTTTTGTATGTTCTGGACATGTTATTTGCTAGATTTCCTCTTTCAAATGCATTGCATTTTAATCTCTCTTACCGCATCAGTTGACTGAATCTTATTGCAATCAACTGACTGAATCAGTTACAAAACTTCCTCTTTTGCCTTCCTCACCATCCACAGCTAGAACAAAGTTCACTTTACCCAGTATTTGCTTCCTTTGTCATAATAAAGGCAATCCCCTTCTGAACAGCAGATAGGTCAAAGTCACACGTTTGAGTCAGAGGGAAACTCACACAAAGTGCTAGATGCAGGACCGTATCTGTATCTTATCCCATAAGCTGACTGAAGAGCGTTAACAGCATTATAGGCTGCAGACTCCTGTGTGTGGGAGAAAAACAAATCCATAAATTAGATTTTGCATTAAATACTGCAACAGAATTGGAACCTGAGCTACAGATCATTTACTTCTAATGCAATGCTGTATTCCCCAAGTTCTGTGGAAGCTAATTTAAAAAGATTTTAAGGAATAAATACTTTATTTGTTTTTACTGACAGCAATTCCCTAGTACTAAAAATTTGACTCAGTATTTTCATGGCGTAAAGAAGCTCACTGCACTATGAATGATCATCCATGAAGTAGCTGGAATTATTGGTAGCTATTGCATCTATTGCAACACCAAATATAGGTCACAATGAGACCGAACTACCCTTCTGTGCAGTTTAAAAGCCATGCAAGTGTTTTCCTTTAATACCAGTGGATGTATGTCCCAGTCCACTAAACCTCATCTCTGCTGGGCTTGTAGTGAAGGTGAAATTATCTACTGGGGACATCCCACAGTGGTCAATGAGCACAGCGGGAAGAAGGAAGGAGCTAACTCCACTCCTGAATCTCTGACGGGTTGGTCAGTGCTGTTCTAACTTTCCCTGGGACCGGCCGATGCAGACTTGGAGAACACTTTCCTCTGCTGCAGAACTGCAGCTTTGGTATGGCATACAGTACATCAAGATCCATAGTGATGCAGTCCGTTTAGGAAGTTTGTGACAGTCTATGAAACTAGGTGCAGAAAGCTGGGCATCTCACAAATTTGGAGAGTCACCCACGGATACCTCTGGCAGATAAAGAGAAAAGACGCACGTAGTCAGAAGAAAAAGGAAGGTTATGATCCCAAAGGAAAGATTCCTGGAGAGCATACAGTGAAAGCAGAGAATATCTAGAATAATGCAGAAAGATCTCCCTACAGAGAGACAGTACATGAACACCATCAGAAATTGAAAGTGCTGGACTTTGAGCTTTCTTTTGAATCTGTAATGTTTATATTATTTTTGTCACCTGAAGAGCTGTAGGATTCAGTTCATGCAAGTTTTTGTGAACTTGGTCCTTACACTGCTGTTCAGCAGACACTAGCTGAGTGCACTGGGTAAGATTACACTATGCTTGCCTTTCCATTTACACTTTTTCACTAAGTTTTCACTCATTTGCAATTGTCAAGAATGAGGATTCTGGCTAATCTTTGGCTTGACCGGTACGGGTGTTCCCATTGGGAATCTGTTTCAGTTCTAGTAAAGATGCTAGAGGAAATTGCTTTAAAATGTCATTCCAGGGGGGAAAAAAAAATCTTTTCCATTTATTGGCCATACAGTATGGCTTTGGGCAGTTTTCTTTACACTGAGAAATCACTTCCCAATGGAAGAGTGATTTTTTTCCCTATTATAAGAATTCATTAGACACCATTAGATTTCTTCGTGTGTTTCCTTGGCCCTTGTTGTTTCTCAGCACAGGGATGATATTGCCAGAAACTCAGCCTGACATTTTCAGCTTGTCTCTTCTCCTCTTAGCATCTCCATGAGAAACTGCATGACGACAGAAACTGGTAGGAACAATTAATGCTGTTGGGAACTTCTGCAGGGTTTGGATGTGGGAGTAAGTTGACCCAGAAAGGTAACGTCTCACCAACTATGAGGAGCGGGGGGAGGTCTAAGGAAGGAGGAAATGCTGTCACTTGGGTCTATTCCTCCTATTAGGCATGCAGTTGTCTCAGCTTGTGCAAGTCATGACACACAGGACCCATGATGCAGTGAGATGTGTCAGACCACATGAGAGCGGAGGAGTGCCAATGTGAGCTGCAGCAGTGGGAAAGCTGCCTCTCAGGGCCATGGGGCATGAGGAGCTCCAGCCGTGGTCCAGGGCTGTTGTCCATCGCTGGCACTGAAGCCCTGAGGATTAGGTTTGGTCAACAGAAGTTTGGCAAGCAGCTGTGCCTGGCATTTAGGATCCTGGAGCCACGGTGTGGAGTTGGGAAGATCTGACCACAGACAGGGCACAGAGCGTAGCGCACTGAGTGCAAGCAGGGCTCAGCTGAGGGGGCTGAGAGCGACTGGACAGCAATGTCCCAGGAGATATGTCATAGAAAGGAGAACCTAATGAGGAAGGAAAAGATTCCACGTATACGAGTTACACATACAGCCATGAGACAAAAAAACAAACCCTGATGAAAACATTTTGAAAAAATATTTTGGCAATGCCTGTTTGAATACAGCACAACAGTACTGAGCTCTGCGCAAAGGCAGCAACTATGCAAAGGTTAGCTGGGGAGTGACCGAAGTATGTGACTGGCAGACAGAAAGACATCCCCAGGCATTGTGAACATGCTGGTCTTAGCCTTGAGGGATGCTGCTTGCTTCAACTGTTGGAGTTATGTACCCCAAAAGGGGGACAAATCTGACCTGCATCATATACAACGCAGATCTGATCTAAATAAAGCCATGGAAGCAGTCTTTGAAAACCCTCAAGGAGAAAGCTTGACATAACATTATCAGATTTTTACAAAGAGATATACAAAATTGGTCATGCCATATGAGGTCACTGTAACCACTCAGGCAAACGCCTGTAGAGGAAGAAAAGGAATAAACAGTAAGTGAAATCTAAAACCCTCTGGGTGGGTGAATGTTTCTGCCGTTTATTTCAATCTAAAAGTACAATTTCATTTAAGTCTCTTAAAAGAACAGATTTATGGAGAGTGCTAGGAAGAGACCTGTGCCTAAGTTAGAACAGAATATTCATGTTGTGATCAGTACACAGCCCTCCAGTTTCGAAGCAACTCTGAATAATTGAACGCTTTAACTGAAATGGTAGCTGACAGCTCACTAGTAGGTTGTGACCCGGACAGAAGCATCTTTCCTTTTGCTTTGGATTAATTGCGACCCCTTGTTAACAGTAAACGTTAATCATCTGCTGTGCATGTGGAGTCCTACAGTTGTCCACCCAGCACATGTGGTCGGGCGAAGCTTGTTCCATCAGCAGCAGGAAACAGAGACTGTTGCTTTTCAACTCATATAATTCTCCACGAGAACTGAAGAATCTGGAACCTCAGTTCAAGTGACCATGATAGACACTTCAAATAATGAAGATTACGCATTTAGGAATCATTAGGTGATAGAGCCTTTGGCTGTAGGCAAATATTAAAACACACAAATAAATAAGCAACAGTATTCCATTCGTTTTCACTCTAACCCCCAAACTGAACTTTCCCAACAACAGGAAATTACTCCAGTTTCTTATTCCAGCCTCCTTGCTCTTTCTGCCCCACTGCAATAAAAAGAAGTACAGACTCCAAAATATCACCAGAATACTTAGAATTGGGATTTGACTTTCATTTATACAGGGCTGTTGTCTTTCTTTGTCACTTAGGTCTCTGCTTCACTCCTTCTGACACTGACTGCAAAATCTGAGGTCTTACAAACTCAAGGAACACCTACCACTCAGCAAAAACCAAGTTCCTTTTGTGTAAAAGCTGTAGAGGGAAAGGTAGTGTGTGTGTGCTGAGGGGCAGTTACCCCGCATCTCTGAATGGAAATAACTCTCGAGCTACAAGAACAACGTGCATTAAAAATTTACTGGTATGTGTGAAAACCCTCAGTTTGAGATTCTTTTTCCTTAGAATGAATTTCCTGACATGGTGTTGTCTTACATTACGCTGGGTATTTTCATAGAGACATTCAACAATCATCTTCCTGCAGAGGAGATGCTGATTCTTCCTCACATCGCTACCTTTTCTTTTGGTGTCTTGCCAGTTCTTAGAAAATATGCCTGCACCTGCGGTCTTCAAAGAAGTGAGATCCTGTGATTTCAAACTCCCAATCTACCTTTTTTTTTTTTTTGTGAGCAGTAGTCAGTAGTTCACTTGGGGAACTCTTTTATCCCTTTGCCACCTCTTCAAAAGAGGGTGGACAAGGGAGAATAAATAGTGGATTCATGACTTCATTCGCTGTCAGGATGCGCTGAATGGCACATGTTAAGTACAATGCAGGACTGAGCTGCCAGCCTCCACAAGTCTCACATTTTTAGCTGCTCTGGTCGCTTTGTTGACTTCTGATTTACTCTATTTCCTAGGAATGACATCAGGCAGGACATTTTTAGTAGCCGGTGGAATTAAGTGTCTTAACAGAAATAAACCAACAAAGAGAGCTCAGTTTGTGCAGTGTTGGTTGTTTGGTCTCCTGAGATGACAGCTGAGTGAAACTGCAGTGAAGCTCCATGGACTAACAACATCATTTATTTTGCACAGGATAAACTTAAGAGGCAGTTAAGTTCCTTGTGGAGAAAACTAGCTGAAGCTAGAAAGTTAAGAATCACTGCAATATTCAAGGCCAAAATGAGACACAGAAATTTTGGACAGGGACTGAAGGCCTAAGAAAGTGGCTTGCTACTGCCTGACGCAATGCGTGTTTGTGAGCCGGAGCAGAGAGAAAGCAAAGCTTGCGAAACATTTCCCTAAAACAACAGGCTAAAGGGAGGGTTTTATGATGCTGACAGAAAAAAGTCCTCAAATTGTGAGCAGAGGAAATAACTCTCATGCTTTTGGATGAGCATAGACTATATGAAATGTGTCTATTCTTTGTAAACAGATAGGCTTACATCAAAAACCAGACTATTACCAATTTATTCTAACAGACAAAATCTTCAAAACATCTGATATGAGTTGCTTGGCTCAAAAGGGTAAAAAACCTATGTCTGAGCAGGATGACACATAAAGCAATAGAAACTTTACTTTTGGAGACATCTACTAGATTTCTCTTCTAATTGATAAATAAACCATGTCACTTGTTTTGTTCATAAAATTGAAGAAGATCTTCGAGCTTCTAGTATTTAGGCTGAAGTTCTGAGCCCGAAGGGACAGAATTTCAACTAGATGCCCAAGGACTTAACTACATAATTCCCATTACTGTTAATTACATAAAGTACTATAATTAAAACCCAGGGATTTATCCTACGAAATAATTTACAGGGATGGATGGATGGAAGCTGATTTAATCAAATTACTGCTGATGCACTTGGAGTGACAGTTACATAACCAGAAATAAAATTGTCAGTGGATCCAGAATAAATACTGCTCTGTATTAAATATATGCAAACCATCAGAGAAACAAGTCTCCTCTCAAAACAAAGTGTATCAAAAATAAAAAATAGGGATGTATTTTCTCCCAAGCGCTAATATACTTACCACACAGCTGAAGTTTGGAATAGTTGCATACTTGTAAGAGTAGGGGTACAGCAGCATCTGTGCATAGGCATGGAAGGACAAATAGGCTTTTATTTGTTTGCGATGTTTGCGAAGAAAATGAGCAACGGCCTTTACTTCAGGTTCAGACTCAGGAAAGGGACCACAGTAGGTGTCATCGCATGGGTGAATTGAAGCACCTTCATCTACAGATGGAAAGAGAAAGCTGAGATGAGCTATCACAGAGAATCTGTAAGGGTCATTCTGGCTTAACCCTTGCGGGTCTGCATGCAAAAGCATGAAAAACAATAAATAAATTGCTTTTTTTCTGATTGATGAGTGTGAGCCAGTGGGACCTCAGTACAGCAGTCTGGTCATTTGATAGACACATCAAGTTGCCAATTGGCCAGCTATAGGCCGCTCTTTTCAGGGAATATATTTTTAACCCAACAGAAAAAGGAGGGTCTTGACCTCATTGCATTTTCTTCTCTAGCTTTCCATATGAGGAACACATTTTTTGAGGGCACTCCAGCACGGAAGTTTGCTTATAACTGCTGAGGGGTCTCAATGGGTCTGGTTAAAATCAGAGAGCTATACCTGTTTCACTAGTCACCGTCAAGACAAGTCTAGCTCTTAAGAGCATGTTAATGTTGTAGCTACTACAATGATGGTTACAAGGGTAGGCAGATAACCTCATCACGCATTACCTTAGAGACTGCTTTAAAAGACGAAAAAAGTCCATAACTACTGCCTATCTTCACTCTTGCAAACCTTAGGGGAAAAAAAATGGCAAGCCGCATGGAATGGTTGCTCAGTTAAAACAGAAATCATCTAGGGTTGCACAAGGCTTACTCTTCTCTTGGGTCAGGAGTTTAATTGTGAGGATTTCTTTCAACACATCAACCTGCTCAGGTGGCAGTAAGCTACAAAAGTGAGGCCTACCTGTAATATCCCATGAGGAAGTGAAAGATGAAACTCAGAAAAGGAGACGAGGCAGAGGCTCCTTTATCATTTAGCAATCCTGGATCTAAGCCACCATCTCATTTACAGTTTAGGGAATGAGATTAAAGGAACAATATTTATGCAAATCAATTGTGCTCTTTTATCCACTGATTTCAAAATGCCACCTGTTTTACACTGACCTACAGAGTAATAATAGTTTGGCTGCGATATTCTCTGGTGCCATTAGGGACTTGTAGAAACAGTCTTTTATTAGCTTTCCTCCATAGAGCAAGTACTCCCATCTCCAAATAATAAGAAACAAGCAATGTACTGTGATAGCACATAATAATATGAACTACAATAGGGTTAGGCAATCAGCTAGAGGCCAAAAAAAAATTAAAAAGTGGAAGAATTTCATACTGCAGCTTCATTTATAATATGAAAACAGGAGGCTATCATTCAAAGACCACCAATGGGGATTTCAAAAGGTATCAATGCTTAGATAGCAATGGATATATTGAGGGCAGATGGTCTGCTCCCTGCAGAACAGATGGCCATCAAGTCATCCAAATCCCAAGAGTACCCTGCATCAATTTCTTGTCAGATACTGTAGCTAAAGGAAAGCCATTTAACCATTTAACAGAGCCTCTAAGAGTTCTTGCTTTTTGGGTGGATACTTCATCTCCCGTTACAGTGTTGTGTCATCATCAATCATGAAAATAAACACCACTGCTAATAAACAGCATCATCCTTCAAGATAAATGTAAAATGACCCAACGGTAAATAACAACTCAGTTTAGTGAATTTTAGTAAAGAAAAGATGCTCTAAACTGTTCAGTCTATTGTAGGGAGCCACTGGAAATCCCAGCTGTAGTTAATGCTTTGCCTTAAGTGAAGCTGCCTGGGAGTGAAAAGACAGAGTTTCCATGGTGCCCACGGATAACGTAAGCTGATCCTCAGTTTTCACACTGGAAGGTCTTTTACAGTAACATAAGCAGGAAGAAAAAAGATATAGTAAATATCAGCTCCTGTGAAATGTCAAAGTTACAGTATGAGAAGAAAATGAAATTACAGAAGAAGTCAACATGCTGCCTTATTTTGTACCTGGCAGCATACTGTGGGAGGACAAGTATCTTCCAACATCCATCATGAGATCAAATGTACAGAGAAAGTGTGTGCAGAGACAGATAAAACCAAGTTTGCTTTGGTACAGAGGCAAGACTGCGGGACTAAGGATGAGCTGGAGCCCAAGCCTCAAACTTCCTTGCAACCACTGCTCCTGCCAGTGCGTGGTACTGTCCTCAGTGCATAATGTGGATGCGTTGGAAATTTTACTTTCTCCCCTGCTTTCCTGGGGGCTGCAGATGCAGCTCCCTTAACTAGATTTGCCCCATGAAAGGATCGAGTTCTCAGTGTCTCATTATTGGTTTAAAAACGGCTATTTATTTAACGAACATTAAACCGTTGCTCTACTTATTGCACATACATATATTACAAGGAGCATCTCTATCCCGGAGAACTTGCAATCGGTATTCACCTGGGTCTGTCTGTATGCAGTTACTGTGCACTAGTTTGAGCACAGAAGGCTGCAGAGTGAAAGCTACCATAATCAGTGATATATCCCTTTTTTTTCAGTCCCTAGAGAATACAGAAGCAACATCATAAAACTTACATCAAAGTCTGACACCTGAAGGAAGGAGGAAAGCAGAAGGGATGCAGCGTTATCTCTACCAAATAGCTAGCTTCAGCTAGCACTCAGCTGCTTTGCTGAAGTGCAGACCCCGCCACAGCACACCTGCCTGCAAGCCCTGCGGTGAAGTTCAAGCCTTGTCCACAAACAGTAAGTGCGACTGAACTGAATTGAAAGGTTTTTAAAAGCACGCACAGTATAAAATTTTGCATGCATCATGATTATACAAGCCTCAAAGTGTGATATGATCCAGATTCACCCCCGCCTCATTTAGTGTCAGATTAATGAGAACATGGGGCCCAGGGCGAGGAGCTTCGGAGCACCAGGCGCCCACGAAAGAGCTCTTTATTCTCTGGCAAAATATTAAACTTCTGTGAATCTCCATTTTAACAGAGAATGAGATGGAGCGTGGGGTCCAGTTTGAGAAGCAGAGCATGTGCTTGGTGAGATGATGAGCAGCCTTGAATAAATTCCCATTTTTTAAACTTGGGGTGGGGAACCTGTCTTTCATATTTAGTGCAGGGCAGACGTGCAACAGATAGTGCATCACAACACACGATGTGTGTGCACACGTACGTGTGTGCATTGCTGTAGTTTTGCTCAACCTAGAAAACACATTTTGTGCTGACAAACACACAGACATCTTTCAGGACTGAGTAAAAAGTATTTGTGTTTTAATATAGTGGCTGGGAAGCAAGTGGCCATCTTCTGCACAATAAATGTATGTGCTCACAACATCTGCAGTTCTGATTTATAATCTTAAGTAAAAGATGATAACACTGACGCAGGACGTTGGTTCAGTTTTAGAATACCTTCCCAGCATAAAATTGCCTCAAAGGTCATGATAGCAGCCCTGCGACTATCTTCTGTATTGGAGGGATTCTTGTCTAGCGTAGACTTTCTTTAACTGCTTCTGTATCTCTTTACTGCGAGTTGATAAAAATTGAAAGCATATTTTACAGGCGCTTACTGTATTGCATCTTTTTTTATGTTTCTGTTTTCTGCTGTCTGATTTATAATCATCCCTGGCAGATTATTCACACTTAACATTTTCAAAAATCTACTTAAAAATAAAATTAAAGACTTCCTATGGGAGACAGATGGGCAGAAGGGAGGGCTGTTGCACTAGCACTACGCAAACACAATTTCTGCCTTTATACGTTTATAATGTAAATAGACAAGGCAGAGAGACACTGAAGGAGAAAACAGTTGCACAGAGAGGTGAAAGGAACTACCTCAAGGTTGGAGAGCTCGTCAGCAGAAGAACTGGGAATAAAAGGTAGTAACAACCAGGAATATAAGGAATAGTTTCACAATGAAGTGCTATTACTTGCTACTACACCAGAACTTTCTCCTGTGTGAGAGTTGTACTGCATTGCTGCAAGAGTTAATAAACACCATTTTTTATTTAGTGGATCCATTCCTATCTTCTGCTGGTATTTCACCACTGCTGCGTTCTGAACGCAAAGCTGAGGTCAATTTCCCTGAGAAGCATTTACGGAAGTACTGGGAGTTCAAAAACTCATCTTCACACCCTTGGAAGCATCACATTTTCTTTATTAAATTGCTAATAACAATGGCCTTAAAATATTCTCTGACATTTCTCTACAAGGCTGAAGAACAAATCTGAAGTTTCCAAAGCTAACGCCATTTCACAGAAGTGATGAATTTAAAAAAAAAAAGTTTAAAAAGTTTGTTATAGTTGTAGTCAGGTGAAGTGTGAAGTGTGCTTCAAACAATTTGCATGATTCCAGAAACACAAAATAGCATATGTGCAATTTTCACTTGAGCAGTCTTCACTTTTGCCACACTTTCCAGGAGAGCTTTCACTTGCGACGAGATGTGGTATTCCTAAGTTCAGGGCATTTGGTTTCTTTTTTAGAAGCTAGGAGGACGGTTCGAAGCCTGGCTTGTAGCATTATGGGGAAAGTAGCTTCAATTTTACCTATGAAAAAGGGAACACTTCATGCTAACCTACTCAGTGTGTTGGATAATTAAATACAGGGTAATCTGACCTGATGGACCAAGGCACTTCCAGACTTACCGCACCACTTCACTTTCCAGTTGCGATTAGCGTCAACACCATGACACCGAAACCTTGAGTTCTTTGATCTTGTTTTTCTCCAAAATCGATCCTAAGCATAATTTTAAAATAGTTATTTAAACAGTAATATTTTACTATATTTTGCAAAATCTGTTTGCACGCATAACAAACGACTCTAGTAAACATATTTGGTATACTATTTTAACTGAACGCATTTACTTTTATTTGGCACGACACAAAGTGATGGACCAAATTATGTGGAAAGGTGCTTTTGAATTACGTAATAACCATTCAGCCTTATCCTGTCTGAACAATTTTTGAGGAATCGTACTGATACTACTTACATTTGTCCAGCTAAATTGATATCCATCCACATTCAGTACAGGCATGATATAGAAATACAGCTGAGTTAGCATCTTGCTCATGGCAGGATCAGTCTGGTATGTCTGAAGAGCCTGGAGTGGAAAGGCCAAAGTAAGTAGTTTCCATAATAAAAATAACTTCTAGAAGTCCAGCACACCTTTCCTTTCAGTCACGCAAGAGGAGGGGAAGGTGAGAAGCTGAGGGCTACGGGGGCCCAGTGCAGAACGAAATGAGAGAGATGCAGCAGCAGCGGGGCCGCCATGCCATGGAGCACTGCAGGGAGGGACAAGCTGCTGGAAGAGGCAAGGGGGTTACCGTAGGGGAGAAGAGGAAGAGTCCAGGCTTCTGAGGGAAAAAAGTCCCCTGCCACTACAAAGATCTCCTGGCCCATGTGCTAGAAATTCCCAGCTACTCCTAGCTGGAAGGTACGGCATCTCAAGTCTATTCACTTTTATTAGGAAACCACATCAAGGCTATAAATACATTTGGATACAAGTATTGATATTCAGAGAGCTGCAGCTATAGCAAAAAGTAATTTTTTCAAAACTGAAGGCTATGGTTACTCAAAAATAATGGCCGTGGAAACAAGAGCTCTACTTCATTACTGTTCCACACGCAGAATTGAAGCAACTAGTGCTGCTCTGTGTATTAAATTAGCCATGCACTTAAATCTTCACAGGACTGAGAGTCTATATGATAAGTATAGATGTTAAATCTGTAAGACTTTGTTACTGCAGTGAAAATAGACATGCTCCAAAAAATGAGCCAAGGGAAATGAGCATTTTTATCATGCATATTTCAGGGAGAAGTAATTTGGTTGGGGAGGAAATAAATCCCCGTACACAGCTTCCTTGACTTTTAATGTTTTTCTCTTTTTACACAGTATGAAAAAGTACAGCTCAGGTCGTGTCTCTGTAGTAGGTATTTATGTTTCACAGATAACGAGACTGACATACTTGCCTGTATCTATTTTTATGTATGTCATTCTTGGGCTACAAGTTACATCTGTAGTTATGCATTTTGTTACATTGAAAGTTATAATCTGTAATATAAACCTCCCTAAAACACTCTTTTTTCTCTTGTTAGGTAAATTTTTAAAAGCGCCACCATTCAAAAAACAAAACAAAACACATATTGCAAAAAGTCAAGTGTCCTTTCATTTTTTAAAGCCACTTTGTGTTATTTTAATGCCTGCCAGCTTTGAAGAAATACCATGAGAGACTTTGGAAGGCATTACAGTCCATAGTAACACTCTCGGAAATGTTAAGTCTTAAAACTGAGTTAAACCTAATTACATCAACGATTCTTTTCTGTTCTTTAAAGCATATATGGTTTATCTTTATAATGTTGTTACCCTTTTAGCGTACAATTTATTTTAAAGTATAACGGATCTGGTGCGGCACTCTTATTCGTGGAAAGCAAGAGCGTTAATGGAGTCAGCTGGTGTAAGTGGGATCATACAGACTCTTTCTGCTGGAAATACTTTGTCCTTTATACTATGTTTTTATCTAACAATTTTATTTGATATATGTAATAAGGCAAAAAGGCTGTATAATCTTATCGCCCTTAAGAATGTGGTCTTTGGCACTGTGCCTTACTGTTACTAAGGTGTGTCATTGCTGGAGCATAACACACGACTTGCCCTTTGTGATGTGACTCTTAAATCCTCTGAATAATGCTCACGTGAAAAGAAAATCCCACAGCGCCGAAACCTTTTCTCTTCTCTATGACAAAAGTAACATGAGTATAAACCGTTCGTGAATTAACTGCACTGTTGTTTGCACAGAGCTTTCAGAATACAGCAGAAGTAATGCTTCTTTATACAGCTTGATTCTGCTTCCCCATCATGCAATCAATAGCCGCTTTGCTGCTGAATGCAGAGAGAGTCAGACTGGCCCAATAAATGCTGAATAGTTTTATTAGTGAATGAACAGATGATGCAGGAACCCTGCCAGCAACGTGCAAGCAATCTGCCTGGGGGATGGGGGAAACAACCAGTGACTAATAAGAGGGGGCCGGATCATCCGGACGAGCAAAGAGCGCTGGTTGTTGATAGGGCTACGCAAGCCTGGGCTGGCTGAGGATCCGGTCCATTGGAAATTTAATTTGAGGGACAAAGCAAAAGAGCTATGCTGTAAAGTGCCAAGGCAATAAAACACAAGAGTTTAAAATGGCTTTAGGATGCAGTTGTGCTTTTTATAAAGGAAGGGAGTTGATTGAGAAGGACAAAGCAAGGAGACCGGGTTGAGAGAAACTCTAAAGCTGTAGTTGAGATTAATAATAATTTGTTGTCCCACAGTTAATTGTTATTAAATTTAGGGTAACAATCAGCTTTTGCTGTTTCTGATTTTGAATTAAACATTCACACTGAATTAATCAGTTACTATTTTAGCACAGTGCATTGATTCCACTGCTGTTTTACCAGAAATAACATAAAACTGCTTCTGATAAAACAGGATTAACTCTCCTAGCTGTTTATGCAGACATGAGTTAAAACATCCCTCTCGAGAGTAACAAACAATGTTTTATTATTTTCTGTATATCTTTCTTACTTTTTAGCAGGAAGGTACTACTACGATTTGCCATTCAGGCCTTCATGGCCACTTTATCAATTTCTGTAGCTGGAAGTAATACCTTTTTTTGATCTCCACTTTTGCTTTTACAGCTAGTGTCCTGCTGTGGCACCTAAATCACAAGCAGAAGAGTAAGCCCACTATCTGGGGGTAAGATGCAACTGAGTATCCAAAAAAGATATCTTAAAACAAAGGGCCAAATTTTCAGGCTTGAAGCTTGAACTGTCTCTGAAATTTCTTTTTCCAAGCAAAATCTTCCTACTCCTTCACGAATATACAGAAAACATCTCCCACAGCAGGAACCCAGAAACAACAGCTGTGAAAAATGACACTGTGTGTCACATTTACTTTGTAACCCTCAGAAGAGAGTCCATAAATTGTATCAAACTGATGCCCACACAAAGTTGGTGGAGACCCACCAAAGTGCATACCTCTGAAAAATGTAATTCTTAAATCTTACCTCCTACTTATGTTAGTCCAGGTAGTATTTACCAAAGGCAGCCTAATATAGTGTATTTGAATGCATCATTTAATTAAACTGCTGAGACTCAGTTAAATAATTAAGATGCAAAAAATTTTGACTCTAATACAGTTTCTAAAATAGCTAAAATGTCCAACACAGACTTTTCTTTCACAATCCTTTTTCATGCTAAGTCGTGCTTCTGCATATCAGTAGTTTTTACTGAAGTCCTACTTACTCAGCACCATTGTACAAGACTGGACTGTCAAAATACGAAGGAGAATTTCTCTGGGGCCAGTCATGTCTTTCAGCAACGACATGAATTCTCTTCATACATTGAAGAGAAACATACCCAACAGCTTAAAAGCTATTTGCATGTCCTAGTGATTAATACTTACATAGGAGTTTGTGCTAGCAAGTGTCAATGAAGAACTCCTCCTACAGGCACAACACAGCTGTAGGGCTACCTTTATTTTATCAAAACACATTCACATTGTGAAAAAAATGAATAGCTGCAAACAAAATGGAAGTAATTTCTACCTTGATAAGATTGTGAATTTTCAGGAGGATGCAGCTGAGTAGTTGAAAGTGCACAACAGAAATAGTGTAACATGTATTTCCTTGTGGAAAAGAAAAACTGGAAATCATTTTAACCATTTTTGCAATAGCGGAGGTGTCACGTCAAAGGAAAGAACCTTCTCTAAACATCTTTACTTTTGAACAGAACCTGGAAAAATCAACCATGGACCAAAAGAGAAAGAAATACTGCATAGCATAAAGAGGGTTTGCCTCAGCTCTTTGTAAAGCAGTGCATCACATGCCTCGTTGTGGTGATACCATGGTACTGCATTCCACTTTTTTGACATTGGTTTAGGATTTATCCATTAAAAAAAATAAATCACACCCGAGAGCCCAGTCCTGGAAAAGCTTATTGGTTGTATTCACTGTTACTTCCTTTTCCTTACCCTCACGAATGGCTCACATTAGTAAACTCTGCCTTCAGTAGTAAGAACGTGCTGGAGAGACTCAGAAACGCAGAGCGGGTGGTGTAAGATGGCTGCTGAAACAGCACAACTCAGGCAGGATTGGACCAGCTGTGGAGTGGAGAGAGGATGTTGAGCAGAAAACAGATACAGACTGGTGTGATTTCATCATGAAAACTTATAGTGCCTGGCATGCCAGGAACAGTATTTGGAAGAAGAGCAAAATCATCACGCTAGAATAGATTCTGAATTTGCACCAGCAGCACCTGCTCTTGAAAGGCTGATGAATGAAGTACCGAGTGAAGAGACTGAACGACGTGATCTCTCTGATCGAAAAATACCAATTAGTGCTCCAGGCAGAAGGTCCTGATAGTAAAGAACGAGTTAGCGAGTGGTAAGTAAGGCTGAATGTTTCAAATACAGATGCTGGAGCATGAGACAGATGGATTTTGTCTATAGATAATGGATATATAGGGAGCACTCAGAGAAATCAATTTTTTTTCTCAGGTTAGGCAGCTAAAACGACAGCTGCAGGGACTGGAGGCTGACACGTTATACAAATTAAACTCTAATAATTGTACTAAGTTTACTGAAAGAGCTGCAAAGCATTTTTGGAGAGATCTGTCACCAGGTGACTAGTCCTTTGAGGTGAAAAGAGCCCTGTCTTCACAGTGCCATAATCCCTGGCAACTGTGAAGGAGGCTGCGAGGGGGGTGGCAGGCACAAGATGCCTTCCTAAAACAAGGGTGAACTAAAAACTTGGACATACAGTAGGAAAACCCAGAAATGAAGACTTCATACAGCAAGAAGACACAGTAGTTTAAAGAACAACAGAACATTTCAAATCAAAGCAATGTGAGCTGAAGAGTATCACCTAAAGGAATTAGACCTTGGAAAGGAGGAACATATCCACTAAAGAGTGAAGGGAAAAAGCTATACGTACTGTCTTTTGGTTTGACCATGCATCCCTCTGACACAAGGGACTCAGTTTTGAATGTTCCAAATAATTTCTAAAGCTCTTCCGGTGTGAGAGACAGTAGTCAAAGGTATGTTAAGAGTAGTGGTGTATCCTTCCC